TCAGAGACCAGTTGATCAAATCCATAATTCTCTTTTAGGTTTTAGACACAGACTGTGAGAGAGTGTTCAGGGAAAGTAATACAAAAAAGATACGAGACTAGACAAGGACATAAGAACTAGCAGGGAAGATAAGGGAGAGGAGAAAAGTGCGTCTGCCTCCTCCGAGAGCCAAAGTAGAAGTTGCAGGTAGGTGCATAGATAGAGGCTTTAGGTACAGAGACACCTATGGGTGTCTATGTAGGTAGATTTTAGGCAGGTAGAGGGTATGATGGTAGTTAGATATGGGTTGGTATATAGGTAGATAAGTAGGTGGGAACATAGTTTGGTAGATGGATGCAGCAGGTTCGTCAGTAGGTGGATCTGCACATATCTTGGAAGGTAACCGTGTAGGTAGATGGAGACATAGAGGAGCATGTTTCCCACTGAGCTGTGGCCGTTGTTCTTCTAACGTAACTCTTTAAGTGTTCATGATCTTAGGATGTAAGCTTGTGGTTTGAAACCATAATGTTTCATTTTTTCACTTTATCTAGGATTCAAGCAGCTCTTTGCTCATATGTTGGGTTTTATAAAGTTCAGTGGGCGACCGTTCAAGTCTACATGCTGGTCAGTGGCAGCTGGGCTCTTTTACAATGTGCTTTGGCATCGTGTTGCTGAAAAAAGCTGAATCTTTGGTGGCTGCGTTAGTTGAACAGTAACAACTTTCTTACAGATGTTTGTGGATTCCATCATATGTGGTTCATAACGTCATTGAGATTTCATGACTTGATGGATTTGGCTGCACAGTGTGAATGTTGGTGTCAGCGCTGCATTAGAAACCGACCTGATTCTGCGTGTGCTCAGGAACATCCACACCTGAAGAAACACTGACGGTGAAATAAGCACAGGTTTCCACCTTAAATGAGCTCTGAGCCCGGGCTCATTTAAGGTGGAAACCTGTGCTTATTTCACTGACAGGTTTCTAAACCACACTGTGTCCCTGCGGCTTTGCTTCATAGTTAGTCCTCACAGACTCGAGGAGCTTATGAAACACAAACTGTGCTTTTATTTACATTTACAGAAACGTTGCTATAAACACGTCCGTCGTGACTGCGTGCGCTCGGAGTCTTTGGACGGTTAGTGTTCTTGTTTAAGACTCCACTGCGAGCTGGTGAGGAGGCTCGCTGTTGAGGAACACGTGTGAAACCACACGAGCAGCTGCAGAGTGATAACGCAGAGACTTCTGCATTTGCAGCCAACAACAGAGCACATCACCTCGCCATCATTTCAAGCGCGTTCACACGTCACATGATTCATGCGATCTTATCTCCGCTGCACACGGTTGTTTGGTACCTCCGTTTCATAACATTTATCTTCTTTAAAATACCGTAGTTAGTGTTACGTGACAAACACAGGCGGCTGGCAGGCCTCCAGCCCTCGGAGTAAAACGCAGGAAGCGATCGTGGCTCGTTGCTTTGCGTCGTTTGTGGTTGTTTTTTGAACGTTTGTGCCACAATTTCCAGGTTTGATTCACTGAGCAATAATACAGTTTAAGAGTGTTTAAGAAAACAGGTGTCAGCGTCTCTCTGTGTCTACGGATGAGCTAGTTTTGTGTCATGTGACCTGCTGCTAATGCCTCCTTTGTGTTTGTTGCAGCCATCTTCCAGATCATCCAGAGCATCAGGCAGGGCATGTGATGATCTTTGACCCCAGAGATGCTGAGCCCGATGGAGGGAGGGAGGGGCACACCGCCTTCAAGACACACCCCCAACACACTCTCTCACACACACACTTGTACCTGTGGAGTCTGGACTCTTCCCTCTCTCTCTGCAGCACATCGCCTGTTTGTTTACTCCCGTCTCTGTCGATGAAGCTGATCCATCACATATTGATAATTGGTTCCTGTCAGATGAAGTCTTAAATCCTCTTCCTGTTGGTCGTCCAGCTGCTCTCTCTCGTCTCTGCTGCTTTTCTCAGTCCCCGGTTTAAAGGGACAAAGCGCTGTTCTTCCTGCTGTCGGCTCATTAATCATAAATCCTTTCTCAGACCGTCGCTCAGTCTTTAGGACCCTCGTGAGTCTGAGCTCATTTGCTCAGAAAGACTCAGCCATCATACTGTGAATCATTGTAATAACAGGACAAAGTTACGGTTCAGACAGATGTTTACATGCAGCACGCCTCAGATTTTAAACTTTTGTACATTGAAGCCTGAGAAGAGCAGCCCAGCCTGGAAGACTTTTAATGTGAAAAAAAAGAATGTCTTCCAAATTAAAAGTCTAACACACCTGTTCTAGTTTCAGTTCATATTGAGTGTATTTGTTGTGAATTTTGTATTTTTGTCAATAATAGTTCAGTGATTTATGTGATTTCGAGTGCTGTTGCTAACCGCTGTTTAATGACTGCTTATTACTTAGTGTTTCAAATGTGAAACAAACAAAAAGAACAAATCTATTTATTTCTGAGGAGCCGTTTAATTCATTCCGCTGATTATTCAGTCGCATATCATAAGTGTTAATATTAGAAATGGTTTAAAGACTAACATTTACTTTAAAGAAGCAATTTTAGCTTTTCTGCTGGAGCTCTTTAGTTTCAACCACAGCTGTTACTCTAATCTCTCCTCTGGTAACTTTCACTTACATTTAGTGCGTCTTCTTCACAATAAACCCTGCTTGAGCTGTGATTGGTTATATTTGTGATGAATTAATGAAAGAGTTAAGTTACAGATAAAATGTTTATTTTGAACTCAGGGTTGAAATCTGCAGATTGCGTCTATCAGCAGCACGTCTCTCATCCAAAACACTTTTTTTTGAGTGAGTGTGAAACAGGAAGTATATGAATCACATGAAGAAGAAGTCAGAGCTTCATCTTCTGTGAGCGCTAGTTACAAATGTCTCACGGGGCCTCGTAAATTCTTCTTTTAGCTCTCAGATTTTCAGAGGTCCAAAGTCATTTAAAGTAAATGAATCTGGGCTTTAATGGCGTCGTGCAGATGAAGCGACGAACAGACTGTCAGCAGGGTGAAAAGTCGTTGAATTAAAGCACACAGGAAGTGATTGTGAATGCAGGTTCATGCTGGATCATCGTGTGAAGTTTACAGGCTTCAGACTGGAAATGTGATTTCTCTTTAAAAACAGCGCTTTGCTCCTTTAAGTCCCTTCCCCTCCACACACTTTCAGTTCTTCTGCTGTAAATGAAGTAAAACAAGCTGATGAAACGAGCTCCGTCATTACAAACGTCCTGCTGACGTTTCCATGTGAAGCAGTCGGAGACGTTCCTTCAGCTGGATGACACGCTCCGCTTTGATACTAAATAAAGCTCCAATATTTTTCTCTACACGCCTCCCGGCTCCTCTTTGTCTTTGCTTTCTCTGTAAAAAAAAAAGAACCTCATAATGCCATGTTTACGACCAACAAGGCAGTGGAGGCATGAATTCATCTCTGAAAGTGAAGACTGTCTCTGATGACACCTGAGAGTTGAATTGTTCTTTCCGATTAAGGATCTCAGACCAGCTGCTGCCATCTTGTGGCTGAAGTTAATCATCATTGTAAACTTGCTTTACTAACAGCTGTTCTGAAGAAGAGGGGTTGGCACTATTGAATTTGTACTGTTATCCACGGTTTTATTGATTATATGAAAAACAAATCAACCTGTCCTGCTAAAGATTAAGTTGGGAAACAAGGGGACAGATGGAGGATGCAGAACAGTATGGAGCCCCTCAGTGATCGCACTCAATTGTCCTTAACTCCACTACCAAACCGGGTGCTAACATGAAGCCTGTTACCCTGACTCTGCACACTGACTGCCACCAGTGAGCCCAGAAGAAGACAGAGTTACCATCATTAGCATCACTAGCACAATAACGTAAAACATAAAGAGGAAAAACTACAGTTGTAGTATTCAAAATACAAAATAATTAGAAGCAAATAAATGACACAACTCCAATGTCAAAGTACATATATACAATGTATATATACACAAACATCCCGTAAATAAACACTAGCCTTTACAAATAACACAATAGATCAGCTGGTACTTCATTAAGGAGGGTTGGGGGTTCAAAACTCAGTTTTATAACACACCTCTGGGCAAGACATCTGTTTATCAGTTGTATTACCAATGGGGTTTCTAATCAATTTAAAGCTTTTTACGCATATCTGAGACCAGAACTTTTGGCCTAACCTGACTGATAAATCTGCTTCCCATTTAGCAATAGGAAGAGATATTGATTCATCTATTATGGAGACTGTCCTGTATATTTTAGACAGTATTTTGGGGGTTTTAAGATTAAGGAATTGTGATGGTGTTTGTTATTTAACTTCATTAGCCTTAAATTCCTCTTTGTTTGTTTTTTTGTACTATAGATTTAATTTGTTGATATTCTAAAAATCTATTCTTGTTAATCCCACACTGTATAACTAGTCTGTCAGATGGAATAAAGTCTGTTCCTTAGAATATATGTTCCAAGTATTTAATTCTTTTACAACTGCAATCTGGGAAGTTGATCATATTATTGTTTTGTAATATGTCAGGTTTGTTCCAGATAGGTGAACGTTTACAGGGATTAATGAAGACTCATCATTTTAGAAACTCCCACCATGCTGTCAGGAAGGAGCTGATATTGCTGCCATTTGATGTTTGAGCTGATAAATGGTACTTCCAAAATCTCTCTGTTATTGTTAGAGCCTGTTCTACGTCTAGCCAGAGCCCATCTGAAAGGGTATGTTTTAACCATCCTAAGGCTGTTGGCTAAGAAGTTAGGCAGATCTAGTCCTTCTTTGTCCTCGGTCCTTTGTAGCTTTTTAAGATAGCACGCGGGGGTTTATATTTTCAGACTGCAGTGGTGTAGAAGAAGAATTATGAAATGAGCAATTAATCAGAAGAAGTATAGATACTGAATAATCTGAAAATCTTGAAAAAAAAGTTTATTAAATCCTCAGAGAGAGTGGTTTGTGAGTTTTGGAGAAAAAGTAAACATCATAAAGAGTGTTTTTATGTTCCACATTCTTGCATCTTAAGCCCTCAATCACTATAGCCTGTCTAATTCCTGCTGGCGTTCACCTGTTGTCAGCGGTGAATCCAGCGTTATTGCTTGACTGTCTTATTAATAACTTCATTTAATTCGAGTTTTACATAGTTTGTTCAGTATTTCCTGTTCCTGTTGGGACACGAAGGCTTCTTCGAAGGATTTCATGTTTTTTTCTAATCCCTGAATATTTTGTTTTGCTTTTTCAAGCTAAAATGAAATGAAATTATTTTACCTCATCATAGCTTTCCCTGCTTCCCAGAGAACAGATGTTGATGTTCCAGGCAGATTTTTATAGTGTAGATGAGGGGTGTCAAACTCATTTTGGTTCATGGGGCCACATACAGCCTTATTAGATGTCAAGTGGGCCAAAGCAGTACAATCATAATATAATTACCTATTAATATTAATAATTATAATAAGTCCATGTTTTTTTTTCACTTTTTTCATGCAAAGAAGTACAATTCCATTAGAAAATCTTCATATTTAATCAGATATCCCTTTTCAAAACATATAACAACTTTTGCTTTCTTAATTCAAGTGTTGCACAAATACAAACAACTGACAACATAGTATTGCACTTTAACATTTATGGCATTGCACGAACAATAGGATGCCACCAAAACAAACTAATTTGTAGTAAAGCTGTTGACTTACATTAAATTTTATATTTTTGAACTTTTTCTACAGCAAGAATTCATTTTCACAGAACTGTTTACTTTAAGTGTAGTTGGCGTCTGAAGCAACATCTCAGATTCTAATCTGCAGTGATGTTAATATAACCAGGGAGTGATGCAGGGTCACGATAGAGCTGTCCGTCCACGTAGAGCCCTTATTAACGAAGACTTAGGAACAGGACATTGCGTTGCTCCAGGATCTCTTTAGGGAAATGGTGGTTTATGCTGAAGTCCAAGTTGACGCAACTCTTCGCTGGTCTTTCTATTTGAAATGTCCGAATTTGGCCAAAACAGGATGCTGTAACTGAGAATGTGACCCATCATAATACAGAAAATAAATGCAGGCCTGTAGTATGAGAGAAAACTATATGTTTTCTGGTATCTCAGGTTCTGCTGAAGAGGATGCAGAAGCAACTAATTAAAAGCTGCGATCGAGTCCATCGTCTCAGACCTAAGAGGGTGCCGGGAGACAGACTTAACTCAGTCCCGTAGCAAGGACTTTTTAGCAGCGACCGTTTCCACCTTATTCTGGCTGAATTCCAGAGATTTTCGCAGGGATTTAAATTGCTGGTGTAAAATCTTCAGCAGGGACAACATCGCATCGAAGCTGGACCATCGCCTATCAACTGACTCCAGGAGTTCGATAAAGTCGTTGTATTCTTGGAGAGTGTCTAATTTCTCCTCCCTGTGCTCCAGGCTGTTGGAAATGATTATACAAATTTGGTTAATTATTTGTCAATTGATTGTATACTATAACTGAAGCTTTGTGAGCTAACATTTAGAGGGTTTTTTTCTTGTCAACTCTCCAGCATCTGATGTGACCTACGGCATTTTCCGTCACTTCCCTCTCCTTACCTGGGTGAGGTAAGCAGAGGGAAGTGACTCATTACTTCCACAATAGAAGGATCTCACTTTCATTATAATCAGACAAAGTTAATCAAATGCAAACAACCACAACTGAAATATCAGAAACATTTCATATATGGAGTTGAACATGAATCATTGTTTAAAAATATATTTATTGTTGTCATAAAGAATCAACTGGGCAACAACAAACTGCTGCTCTCACTAAACACATGTCCGTCCATATCCCAGCAAACTAAATCGTCTCCATGTATTTCTTTAACTTCGGGAGCATTTTGAAACTGAACCTGACTGGATGCTGTCTTGTCTGACTAAAGCTAACAGACTACAATCCAGAGGAAAGTGGGATCAACTATTACAAACACCTGCATTATCAGCCATGATGGACAATTTGTTTATGGTGTTTACACTTATTTGTGAAATATTGTTTCGTTATAACATTATTTATATTCTATTTTTAAGCTGGGCTATCCTGAGGCTCAGTGCATCTTTCGCTCTTAAACTCCTCCTGCAAACCTCAGGTGGGCTTTGTTTCAATCTGGCAAAAGAATATTTGAATGTTTTGCATCTCTTTGTGCTTTGTGACATTTTTCTGTTGTGAAGACATGTGAGACTTTTTGAGTCAACTATAAAAACAGTTTAAGGCAAAATTACACTTCACTTTAGATGAGGTCACAAAAAATGCTTAATAACTTGTAACTGTGGCAAACGATGAATTACAAAATTATATTTTAAAATAAGCATTTATAACACATTTATTAACACACAGACATGAGCTAGATGTGCATCTAAATACTTTATCACTTATTTAAAAATGATACAATGAACATGTTATATGGGGCTTTATTATTCAAGAATAAACATTTAGAAATGAACAGTAAGGAGAATTAATGCTTTATAAATGATGAAATGAGAATTTAATATTAGCTTACTAAAGCTTAATAGTTCACACATCAAATAGAAACATGAATCACTTGTAATGATTAGAAACTTGATAGAATTTCAAAGCTAGTTTGGGGAGTCATTCAGTGAGAAACAGTGAAATGATTTTCCATGTGAAAAGGTGGACAGCAGAAACAGAAAGAAAGAGTGAAACTAAAAGAGAAACAAAGAGCTTTGGAACAACGAGGCAGCAGGAGGACAGCTGCAGTTTAACAGCTTCAACTCACTGACAGGAATTGAAGCTGTTGGAAAGAAAAAAAGCGTCTGGACTTCTTTGAGTTACTTGAAGACGTTTCACCTCTCATCCAAGAAGCTTCTTCAGTTCTAAGGCCAAATGGTGGAGAGTCCCAGATTAAAGCCCTGTTGGGAGTGTCCCACCCACTAAGAGGGACAAAGGACCTTCTGATGATCCTCTACCTAATCACCTGAGCCAAGGTGTGAAA